AACATCTGCATATAAATGCACACGGAGCCCTGCCAGCCACCACAAGCGTTCCTTAGGTATTTATTTCTAAATTTAGCAGCCAACAGAATATCACACACGTCGTCCTCTCTGCGCCACACTCAAACAGCCTCTGAGCTTTCCTCTTTTTGCAGGCCACTCTCTGCATTCAGCAACTGACCTTCAACTCCTTGTGCAAAACATGCCGGAATTCAAGCCTATTTACTTTAACCTTTCTTTTTTTTTTCCCTTTCTTTTTGCAACCCACAAATGTACAACGGAAGGTCACATTCCTCCCCTTCTCAGTGATGGGCAGAACAGCCAACATCCACCCTGCCTGGCACAAAGCCGCCTTGCGCTCCCAAATGTTCGAAATTCTCCCACACGTCACCTCTCGCCACCTTCCCACCCGGCGGCACGTTTCCAGGCACACTTAGCAAATTAATCGACCTGCAGTTGTTGCCTCCGTTCTTGCTAACTACTTCTTCACACAGGAAACAATAAAGAGCAGTCTTCCAGTTGTCAGTTTTTCACAACACCTTAAATAAATAAATGGCAGGGCCCCCTTGCAGGCAAAACACCTCCAGCTTTTAACATTTCTGCAGTTGCCTGATCCACTCCCAACATTTGTGCCCATTTTTCCACAGTCTTGGTGTTTTCATCGTGGTTTTGGTTTTTTTTTTTCAAAAGTACGTACAGCTTTCATTTCTGCTCCACTCTTCAACGTCTCTCCATCCGTCACAGCTTTCCTCCTTTCAGTTCAAAACACTCCGCCGCGTTCACATGCAGTTGTGCTCCCTGGATTAGGGGCCCCTCATTTGCCCGTTCTGGTCTTCCAAGGGGAAGAAGCAAACTAGGAAGTAGCAATTATACGAGTTGTTGGTGCATCTCACACACACACTAATGCACACCGTGAAATAACTTTTTTGCACTAATAAGCATTTGCCAAGATAGGGGAAGAATTCTGCACCACTTCCAAAGCCTGAGGCTTTGGGGCACCTGGACTAAACGATGCCAGCCACCTGCAGCTCATGCCAGCAAGGCTGGGCATCCCCGTCTTGGCGTCCCTTCCAGCCAGACAGGCGGGTCGTTGCTTCTGGGGGACCCTCTCTTTTCCAGCCAGCACAGGCAGACCCCTGGTCTACGGCCAGACCCGGATGGCCTTTGCCAGCGATGCCCAGACCTTGGGCATATGGTGCCACTGGGCTCCTGCCCTGCCTTTTGGTTTCTGGGCATCTTGGCGGCTTCTTTCTGGCACCTTTCAAGGGAGCTAATTACTGTGCCGCTAATGAGGCACAGGTGCTAATTCTTCCTCCTGGTCTTTCACAAGCCTTTTCCAAGGCTGTCGACAACCCCCCCCCCAGAAGAGCAAAGAAATTGGGGCAGGAGCTGGGCAGATGGGAATCGGAGGGAAGGAAGAAGGGTTTGCTTCGGTCCAAAGAGAAGCTGCCACAGAGGGGGCACCCGGAGGGCCGGGCTCTTTACTGGTGAAAACCTGGTCCCCCGGGTGGGCAGCTGCTGGCAGCCCCGGGGTCACAGCGGAGCTGTGGGGACTCCGACCTTCTTACCCCTCTGCTTGTAGGCTTCTTCCTTTGCTCCCCTCAGTCAACCAGTGTTGAAGTGTGTAGGGATGGTCCCTTGGGGGGGGGGGGCTAGAGGAGAACCAGGGTTGCTATGGTTATATGCAAGCGATGGTAAAGTATGGTGTGACCAGGATCCACTCCCCAATTTAAAAACCAGGACTGCACCATTCTGTTCACCCACTCTGGGAGAACAAGCTGACCCTTCGCCCCAAAACTATTTCTAAATTTGCACTCTTGGGCCATAAATGAGCTTTGCCAACTGGGGTGCCCTTGGAAGGATTTCTTCCCCCCTCGGGTTAAGCCCAGTTGGCCAAATCTAGCAGAAGGGGCAATTGGGACGGGTCCTGACATCTCTCTCCTGGGAAGGGGGCCCAAATCGGAAGCCCTTCCCTCTGCTCTGGAGGGGCTGCCTTACAGCTTCACTAGCAGGAGGTTGCTCAAAATAGCACCAGCCCAGCGCTGAGATTTTGACAGCTCTCCGGGAGCTGAGCGCAGCTCCGCTTGTCAAAGGAGCTGAGAAAAATTAGAAATGGAACCACAAATGGAGGGAGGGAGCTGGAGGCCAGTCCCAATCCTGCATTCCTCAGGGTTAATAACGTTTGACTCTTTCCACTCGTCTAGATTCTCTTCCCTTCTTTCCCTGCTGTGCAGACCCTTCGGGTGTCCCCCTGGCCGGTGCTGAAGGGAGGCAGCTGGGCCCAGCCAGGCGAGGGGATGGGGCCGAGGGGCTGGAGGAACAGCCGTGGATCGCTCACCACCACCCGGCCCCAGACCTGACCCCCGTGCGGAGGGCACCCAGAGTCGCCCCTCTGCTCCCGGCAACCGTCTCCGGTGCAGCCATCCTCTGGTTCTTCCCCTCTGCTCCGCCAAGACAAAACGAGGCCCTCCAAGGTAGCAATTAGCTACCTGATCTAATTGCCGTAATTGCCAATACAGATTATCTGCATAAACGCTGGTTAATTTCTTGCCTCGCGTGCTTCTCCTTCTAGGGAGGGTGGGGGGCTCCCCTTCCCTTCCAGGGCTCCCGCCTTGCCCTTCGCAGCAGCAGCCTGGCAAGCAGAAACCCAACCGGTAAAGCAAGGGGACAAAGCGGGAAAGGGAGAATAAGGTAGTCCTTGACTTACCACTGTTTGTTTAGTGACCATTCAAAGTTATGACAGCCCTGAAAAAAAGTGACTTAGGACCGCTTGTCACACGGCCATTGCAGCATTCCCAGGGTCACGTGATCAAAATTCGGGCTCATATTTATGACGGCCACAGCGTCCCGGGGACACGTGATCCTCTTTTGCGACCTCCTGACAAGCAAAGTCAATGGGGAGACCGGATTCACTTAACAACCGTGATAAGAAAGGTCTTAAAGTGGGACAAAACTCACTTAACAACCGTCTTGCTTAGCAACAAAAATTTTGGGCTGAATTGTGGTCGTACGCCGAGGGCTCGGGAGCACTGCCAAACCGGGGCTGGCACGTTCCCCAGGAGGGCTGCAGGGAAGACAGTTTTCCTCGTGGGATTCCCAGGGTCAAGTGGCCCATTTCTGCGTCTTCGATTCTCGGTTCTCTCTTCCAGAACGGCCGCTGTAAAACAGAACCACCTAAAGCAGCTCACCGTGAACCGTTTTATCCCCGTTAAAAACTGCACGTCAGAAATGAGGCATGACTAACATCCTGCATTATGCAGAGCCTGCCTCTCCACATCTAAGGAGGCCCGTTTTCAAATGACGGACACCTTAGGCGGAGGAGGGCTTATTTTTATCCCTAAAACCCCCGAAACAAATAGGTATCATCAGGTAACCTGCAGCTAATCTAGAGAACCTCCATTTGCAGAAATGAAAAAAAAGTGTCCACTTTTATAAAGGAAACGGCTAAGCTAATTAACTCTGTGTTTTAGAAACACCTTCTGCCTTATCCCTTTCGACTGTTTCAGGCTGAAAATCAAATAAACTCAGAAATTCTCTAGCAGGTCGATCAAAAAACGCCTCCATGCTCTTTTTCCCTTTAATTATTCATAAAGCCACAGAAAAACAGATTGAAACTTAATGGTTAGAAGTCCACCAGAAAGCTCCGTTCGAAAAAGAACATTATTTCTAATGTTAGTAAGGTTTTTTTAAAAAACAAAACAAAACAAACTAACCAATGTATCTGGCTGAACAGAATAATAAGCTTCGAGCAAAAATATCCTTGTGGCAAAGACTTCAGGAAGAAACAAAGGGAAACGCTGCCATCTGAAAGAATCAGATCAATGGTAAATATTGAATACCTTCATTTAATCCTTCGGGAATTAAGTTGTTTAGCAACAATATCCATTTTATTTCTCTTCTTAATGGAAGTGTTTCATTATCACCTTTTGTTCCGTAACACAAAAGCCTCGCTCTGAAATCTGATCTCTTTGCCAATCAAATCTTTGACTGAAACGCTTCCTTAGTTTCCCCAAAAAATTCCCTGGATCTGGCTGGATCCCTTTTGGGACACGGGGAGGGGGCAGCTCCTAAGATACGCCAGAGTCCCTTCCCTGAAGTGGGTTTGGCTCCCTGGGTTAGTGGCCGAGATGAGACTGGCACTCGGGACCGGTTGGACTTGCCAAGGCTCCCGCCAGGGCACAAGGCTCAAGCGGGCTTCGCGGTGTGTGAGGGGGGAGGGCCAGCTACCGAGCTGAAAGACCCCCAACTTTATTCCCACGAGAGGCATAAACCCCCAGTGACTGGGGATTGCATCAAGGGCTGCAGGTGTTCCGCAGAAGCCTTTTCCAGACTGGGAATGGGGGGGGGAGTGGGGGGAGGGACCCCAGGATGCTTTGGCCAGATGGAGGACCAACACCAAATCCTGCCACCTGGCCAGACTCTGGAGAGGAACAGAGGCTTTGCTGTGAACAGAGGGGGAAAGCCCCCAGTTCCTTTGGAGTGGCAGCTTCACATCTGGATGGGGGATCTCCCCCCCCTTCATGCAACCCAAGCATCCCCATGCCACCTTCCCCCCCCCGGGGCCCTCCCAATGAAGACAACGCTTGCGAAGCAGCTGGCATACATAAATAGGATTTTAGTTCAGTGTAAGTTAAGCTCTTCATCATTTCTACCTTTTGTGCACCACCAATCTCCTAACGTCTCCCCTCCCACCTAACCCCCCCGCCCCCCCAGCCCACGGGCCCTGGGCTCCCTCCGGCAAGGGGTTCCTGGCTGGGTCCAGGGCACAGCAGGCAGCTCTGCGTGGCCGGAGAAGAGCTGTTCTGATCCAGGAGCCCCTTGGCCCTCCGTTCCGAGGATGCGTCAACAGGCCCTGCCAGGAGGAGTTTGGCCACACAGCCCCCCTCCTCCAACCCCCCCCAATGTGCCTTCAGGGAGGGCTGGGCACGGCTCCCCTTCCTGCGGCACAGGCTGGGCATCAGGCCGGTGAGACCTTCATGTCCTCCCAACAAAGGATGTCCTCTTCAGGGCTGGCAGCTCCTGCAGTCGACAAACCTCTGGCTTCTCTGGAAGGCAGCCGAGCCGGGCGTGGTGGGGCTGAGCTGCAGGCGGTCTTGGGGGCAGGTGACCAGGGTGGCCTGGGGGCCGGAGAGGCTTCGGCTGCAGGCCAGGCGCTTCTCGTCCAGCACAGCCAGGTTGTATTCGCAGAAGTCGAGGAGAAGCTCCACCTGCTCGTGAAGCGACAGGGACTTGTATCTCCTCTGGGCCAGGAAGCAAACCGCTTCCACGAAGGCTGGGAGGCTCATTCCTGGGGGGGGAGGAAGAGGGGAGGGGAGCCAGGAGGAGCCCTGAGTCTTGTTTTGCCAGGGTTTATGACATTTAGGGGGTCAATAACCCAACCCACGTGCGGCAGCCAGCATCGGCTAGAAGTTTCACCCAACTGGAGGTGAAGGTACCAAAGGTGGACCATCACCAAGCCCTGAAGCTCCTTGTCATGGCCCCCTCAGAGGCCGGCTTGGAGGAGCGAGAGTCGGAGGCTGGGACCGTCCGACAGGGAAGGCAGGCCGGGGGCTGAGGACGGGGCTGTCCCGGGCCCCCCAGGCCTTGAGGGAGCTGGGCAGCGGCTGGCACCACCCTGGCCCCGTCTTCTGAGCTCCCTCCCCACCCATCCTGGCCTGCAAAGAGGGGCTTCGGATGGTCGTGAGGCCTGATCCCCACTTGGCTCGGGGTGAGCGCTGGAGGCTGGCTTCTCAGGCTGCCTGGCCAGCTCCTCGAAAGGGGAGGGGGCAGGAGTGAATAAATCAGGTCCTCCCCCCTCTCTGCTCCCTGCAGGAAAGCCTCTTCTCTATTGCCGCCTCTGGCAAGGAAATGGGGCTTTTACCGGCATCCCTGGAGCTGCCCACAGCCTCCTTCCCGTCGCCTGGCACAGAGAGTGGCTTGGTGGATATTAAAATAAATCCCATCCATTACAATTTTTAATAAAACCTGACAATTAACTCAGGGTACCAGACGCTCAAGGAGCGCGTGTGGCTTCCTGTTGAGACGCTTCTGTGTAATCCAGATCGCATATTAAAACCTCAGAGAGGAGGCCCCCCTCCCCATGAAGGGGGGGGGCTGGACTCCTTGACAAAAAGGCTCTCTTTCCCCCCCCCAAATGGATTTTATTTTGTGCATCCATCCAAATGCTACTTTTGTCATGGACTTAACCTACTACTATGGATTATTTCTTAGTGACGGATCTAAAGGTACCATCGTCATTCTTATTGTAATCATTGTGATGATTGACAGCGTCCCTTCCTTTACTTTGCTCTTTGGCTTGACTTCCTCTAAGCTCTGCTTAAATTCCTCAAATTAAGAATCACTGTTCTTTTCCTGCAGTACAGAATTTTCCAAATTCTGCATTTCCCCGGACTTTTCACCGCCAGGCCAGGGACGCCACCTTGTGCCTACGTTGCCAGGCGCTGGTCTTAATCTTCCTTGCCCCCAAACAGGCATTTTAAAGGTGAGTCTCTGTTTTTTCCCCCCTCTTTTAACTCCAAAGGAATCAAATAGCAGAGACCAAAGTTTTCTAGGGTGGAGAAAATCTACCTCCTATCGGCAGGTAGAGGCTGTATCCCAGCCTTGAAGTGTCCCAGCAGGTGGAAACACCTGAGCCAAGGTGTTTGAGCTCAGAAGCTCAACAGGTAGGGCCCAGTGGCTGCTTGGACCAGCGGCCTGCAAAGAATATTGAGGCGAACAGCCTAAACTCGGTGACCCAAAAGAGGAAGAAGAATTTTCTTCAGATATTTTCGTTCGGAGGAAAGCACTCCGGTGGGGGGAGAAGCCGAATTCTGCTCCTCAGCAGTCCTTCACATCTTTTCCTTATTGTCACTTCAGTCAGCAAAACAAAAATACACACCCACACAAATCCGCGCTGGCAACATCCCACAACCACAACAGATTCTGCTCACCCACAGCAATTTAAGATGCAAGCCCAACAGAACTTGGGCGAAAAAAATCAGAGTGCGAATCCAGACTGAACAATGGAGCAGATGGCGGAGCTCTTTTGGAGCCGTAAATGGAGAAATGACCCTTCCTCTCCCTCTAATTGCCGGTTAATTTCAGCCTCGGCAGGACCCGCAAAATCCGAACACGGGGCCCTTCTGCTGACTCCGTCCAGCGGCTGCCAAGCGTCGCCCCAGCGCAGGTCCTCCAGGGCTGAGATTCGGAAGCACCTCGGCCGAAGGCAGTGGGGGATCCCCACGTCTGGCCTTGTTTGGGCTCCACCAAGCCCCCTCCTCTCCCCTCCCCCCATCAGCCACATGGTCTTTGTGATCCGTGCCACCTCAGGGACCTTCAGGTTGAGAAAAGCAAGCTTGGAAAGGGCTGGCGAGGTTTTGACATCCCACTGAGCCTCCTGGAAGTCCCCGTCTCGAAGTCAGAAGAGGCACCAGCGCCTTCCAGACCGGCTTTCTAGCAGCAGGCCCTGGGAAGGCTGGCTGGGGATTATGGGAGAGGATTGCAAGGATGGCCCCCACCTGCGACCAGCTACCCACTCTGAAGACCAAGAGGATGGGCCTTCCCATGCGCCCCCTTCCCCTTGCACAGCAGCTGCTGGAGGGGGCTGGCTCTGGCCCCCTCCCAGGTGGGGGGGGAAGGACGGATCCCTGGCATGGCCAGGCGGGGTCCAGTCTCTCCGCTGGGACTCCCTCTCCCACCGGTGGCCCCTCAGAGGGACCCCCTTTCTCCGGCTGGCGGCAGACTCACCAGCCTCGCGCTGGTCCGTGCTGGGCCCGATCCCCCGCCGGGTGATGTCAATGTAGAGAATGTCCCCCGCAGCCATGCTGAAGCCGCTGTTGCTGATCTTGCTGTTCCTGGAGACGAGGAGGAGGAGGAGGAGGAAACAATGTTATTATGGGATGGAGGGTCCTCATTTTCTCTGCCTCCCTGATGGACAGCATCTTGAACTCGAGGAATGGGGCACCACACACACACAGAGAGAGAGACAAAGCAGAAAGACCTCAAGGATCATCCTCAGGCCACCTTCACTGGGGCTCATGGGAGATGCAGTCCAAAGGCCCTTCTGCATCTTGAAGGAAAGGAGAAAGCCCCCCCTCCAGCCCCCCTCACCTTATAAACATCCGGAAGCCGGTGGGCCCCAGCTTGGTGGTCCCCTTCACCCCCAGGAAGCGGATGAAGAGGGCGGCAATCCGCTCCACCAGACGCAGGTAGCTGAACTGCTTGGCGTACTTGGGGAAGACCTCCTTTAGGCAGAGGGCGGGGGGCTCGGCTTCCGGCGGGGGGCTCTCCTCCAGCTCGGGCTTGTTCTGCAGCCCCTCCTCAAGGAAGCTGTCCTTGTCTGCCAGTTCCACCGGTTCTGCTCTGTAGTTCAAGAGGGAGACCCCAAATACTCAGGAAAGGATGCCCACCTTCAGTCAATGTCCCCACCTAACAGAGCTGGAAGTGCTAGGGGGAGCCTCTGCCCCATTGGACCGCAGCAGTGGAAGCAGGCAGCAGTGCCCCCCTCCCCAAGGAGGCATAGAGGCTTCCTGGGTGCCCCTCCCTGTCTCTCTAAAGGCAGGAAAGGCCCGGTGCAGACTGGCAAAGAGCTCCAGTCTGCACCGTGCCAAGTGAGCCGGCTCTGTTTTTACACTGAATCCCAGCTTTTTTTAAAAAAAAAGCTTTCTAAAATTCTAAATTCTCTCTTCCTGCCAAACATTGATGGTGAAATCAATAGCAACTGAGTCATCAAATGACCTCTGAAACCCACAGTCCAGATTTGGAGGACAGACACCACCCCCCCAGCAAGACCTCCCAACAAGACCACAAAAGTCACACGCTCCACATTTGTGGCCGACAGGAAGCACCTCACTCTGGATTTTGCCAAATTGCAACTCCATTTTTTTTTTAAAAAAACAACAACTAGGAAATCACCAAGACCAGCCAGGATGGAAGCCACCAAGCCCGGGAACCGGAACCGGAGGCAGAGACGGCAGGCTGGAGACCAGCACCTCTGACACCCCCCAGAGAAGAGGGGGCACCCCAGCTTTCCACAGACTCAGGCTTAAAATTACATGTGAATGTCTGATTACCACACGTTTATTCCCCTAATTCTGTGCCTGGAGATCAGCCTGGAGAAATTATCAACCGGATTGGGAAGAAGGAGGAGGAAGGGGGGGGGAGTCTGTCTGTGGAGCATCATCGCATGGAGAGCAAAATTTTCAATCTGAGCCCAGCTCTTCAACATCCCAAGGACAGCTTATCTTTTATACATGATTACTAATTTATTAATGCCTTCCTGCTATCTGCACCAGATCCTCCGCTCTGCTCCTTCTCAGGGCACTTAATCTTTATGCTAATGTGCCGTTCCCTCAGCTCCGGTTCCAGCTGCTAACGAAAGGCTGAGAGAGGAGATTTACAACCGGGGTCCAGGGACCCGGAGAGTGGCAGCTAAGCCCCAAAGCCGCCCCCCAGCTGCCCTCTTCCCAGGCAGGAGCTCTGCTCTCCGTGGAGATGGAGAGGGAAAGCCAGCCTGGAGCCCTCCGTACGGGAGATGGTTTTAGGGGAGGTTTGTTGGCCTGTAGGTTGTCCTGGACTTAGTGGCCATTAAAGTTACAACTGGCCTCCCAAAAGGCGAGTGTAACTACCTTGGTTGGTGAAGTTTGCCAGTTGAGTTTCTCCATGACCCCCCGTGAATGTTAGCCAACATTTCACAGCCTCTCAGCAGCCCCGATGGCGGACAATTGATGGGCAGCCACAAAGAGCCCACCATTTCTACACCACCACCACCACCCCCCAAAAAAATGTCTGCTCTGGTGAAAGGATGAAAGGAGGAGGGCTGCTGGTAGAAGGTCCTTGGTTGCCCTCCTTCCCAAAGCCGCCACAAATAGAACCGTTTACTCTAAATCCAGCAAAGGGAAAATACTTCTTACTGGCCAGCAACCTCCGGCCAACAGTGCAGCCGGCCACCGCAGGACCGACCGAGCCCACCCCCACAAACGGTCCTCAGAAGACAGACCCGGTCCTCTCTTTCCTGGGTGGGGAGAGGGCGAGGCGTCAAGCCAATGGAAACTCCAGCTATCTTCCCACACAGAATTTTAATTTTATCCCAAAGCCTGGAGGGAGGGTTTTCTGTTTACCAGGTTCAATCTCCCGTACCTGTTAATTTGCACTTGGTGGTCTTCCCACCACAGACCCCAAGGCCGCCTCCACGACGCCCCACCCTGGGATGCCTGTTAAAACGTCAACCTTGCTGAAGGTTGACACCAGCCAAAGATAGGTCATCCAGCCAGAAGCTGGGGAAATACAAAATCAGCTGTGCCTGCTGGGCCTTGTAGTTCGGCAGCCCGTGAGCTTGAGGACCCCAGGTTATTCCACATAAATGATAGCCTTAATTTAGCTGCTTAAATTGTGACAGCAGGACAGTCGCCTCCTGCCAGCGTTCCCGCCTCTATTATTGGTGATCGGAAAATAAATCACAGGAGATTCTCCACAGTCGGTTGTGTTATGTTGTCTGTGTCTGTTTTTGTGTCTCCTCTCCACCACTGAGACTCTTCCTATTGGCAGCTGGTTGTAAATATTTAACTGTGATTGTTTTTGTCTGCAAGGACAGCCACCTCGCCTCTCAGCAGTTTTCAAAGACAGAGGAGGGGGGAAAAACGGATCAGCTTCTTTTTGCCTACTGGGAGATGTATATCTCCTTGCTCCCCTGCTTCTCTTGAATTTGGGGAAGGTCCTAAATTTGGAGAACAAAAGACATGCTGGTGCCAGGATGGCATCAGGAGATTTTGCCGCGATGGGAATGACATTATGGCTCCTGCTTTGCTCCAGACTTGCGCAATGCAAAACTTGAGGCAGGCAGAGAATGGGGTATTTCTTGGGAAATACTGACTTTGTTGCCCGCTTCGGGGTTAGAGAAGACTAAGTCAATGTAATGCTGCATTCTGATGACTTTGCCCCCAAACTGACCGACATGGCCTGTTCTGAAGTGCTGAAGGCCAGCTGGAAATCAGACCCCACTTACGAAGCCTGCTCCCCCGGCTGCTGCTGCTGCTTCTTGTGAGGATCCACCAACCGGAGGGTGTCCCGGATAATGGCCACCTTGATTTCTTCATCAACCGGACTGGGGATGTATTCCATAACTCCTGGAGAAACCTTGAAAATCCAGAAGAGAAGCTGATCACAGAAGCCCATCCCAGCACCTGGCAAACATGCCCAAAAGTCAGCTTTTTCCTTCAAGCCAGAGGTTTTTTTTAATTTAGATTTTTTTTTAACTTTATTCCAAGGTTAAAATACAAAACGCCAAGAAGACAGATAAAAAAACACAGACATTAAAAAGAAAGTGTCTTAAAAAAGTAGAAAAAAAGACTGTATAACATCCTGCTTAGTTGAATGCTGATTAATATAATAAAGCAATGTGAATTTAAGACAGAACTTAACATGTTATTTTATGCAATTAATAATAAAAATAAAAATATTAATCCTCGGAATGTGAGTTACTGTTCTTTCCAAGGGGCGTTTGAGGAAGGGGGCAACCAGCAACTGGCCACTGAGGACAATTAACCAGTGGAACAGAAGTCGCCTTCAGACGTTGTGGGTTGCTTCATCACTCGAGGTTTTTAAGAAGAGACTGGACAGCCACTTGTCCGAAATGATATGGGGACTCCTGCTTGCGCAGGGGGCTGGACTAGAAGACCTCCAAGGTCCCTTTCAACTCTATTCTGATTGATTGGTTGAGACGCCCTGGAGCATTTGGGGCGCAGGAGGCATGGAGGGCTGCTCCCGTCTTCCCAGGGAGAGAAAGAGGCCATGGCCAGACCTGGTGCCCACCTCATGTTCATGCTCAATCTTCATACTTGGGTTGGCATTGACTTCCAGCAAGACAGGCTTCAGGTTCTTCATCAGTAGGATGTCAAACCCTAAAATCTTTGGAGGAGAGAAAGCAAGAAAGCTTTCCAAGAGACCAAAGAACAGAGACCCTAAAGACCTGCTCTGCCAGCTGGCATGGGGCTCCGAAGGGGGGGTTGATAGATTAATATCTGATCCCAGCTCCCCTCCTGCTCATCCTACTCCCTCCCTCCCTCCCTACCCCCCTCCACCTTTGAGCTATCGTATTTTTACACTTTTGTAGTATTTTATTGACATACTTTTATTTTTTTTAATATTGTAAGATGCCCAGAGTTGCCCTGGGGTACGATGGTCAGCCAATAGATTGGATAAACGAATAAAAATATACAAAACTCTTCCCTTTGGACCCCCCACCCTCTCCCCCAGTCCTCGCAAGTCCTCTCCACCCACCGTGGAATACCTGCACTCACTTGAAAGCAAGAGGGTCCCGGTTTGCCCGCCGGGATGTCAGACTGGTAAAAGACCTTCAGCTCGGGCACGATGGCGATCACGGTCTTGATGACCAACGAAATGATGTCGGACCAAACCTTCCGGATGTTGACGCCGCTGGAAGACAGCTTGCCCAGGATACTGGAAAACGTCCGTTTGCTGCCGGTGTTGCCGCTGTCCGAGTGGACAAAATTCCCGCTGTGGATGTTGAGGGAGTAGTTGGTCAGGTGCATGTAGACCTGGTGGAGGTTCCTCAGGGAAGGCTCCTGGTAGGGCTCCGTGCAGAACCGGCAGAGCCCATCCTTGGCCACGTAGACCTCCAGGGGATCCAGGGACCTGAGCAGGACGTAGAGGCGAATGTCAAACTTCAGCCTGTCGATCAGGAAGGGCCTGGACATGTACTCCTGGACCACGGCCGGCCTGCTCTGCAGGTTGCCCATCAGCCGGATCTCCGTGGGGTCCTTCACGAGGTAGATGCCGTCCCCCTGACAGCCGCCGTCAGGCTTCACGATGAAGGTGGGCTTCCACCTGGGGTGGCTCTCCTTCCTCAGGTTTACCTGCCAGGGAAGCAAGAGGAGGAAGGCAACAAAACCTTTACCTGCATGCGGGCCTTTCCCCTCCTCCCCCCCCCCATTATGTTTCAATCAGCCCATTTCATCCCCTTCTTAGACAGCCAGCGACCTCCGTCGTCTGGTGCCCCAGAGGCGCTTTTCCAAGGGGCAGCAGGGCTTGCCGTGTTTTTTCCTTGAAGACGTTTCGCTTCTCATCCAAGAAGCTTCTTCACCTCTGAACTGAAGAACTGAAGAAGCTTCTTGGATGAGAGGCGAAACGTCTTCTAGGAAAACCCAAGGAAGTCCACCTGCCTCCTGCAAAAGCGCCTTTGGGGCAGCCCTGACTGAGATTCTCCATCGACCTCTCCCTCCCTCGGATGTGTGCTGCCCCCTCGTGGAAGCATCGCAAGGGAAATGGGGAAAAAGTGGACAAAGATTTTCAGAGGAACCACCCACCCGGATGCCCTCCAGACACACTGGCTGCAAGTTGTGGACCCAGCCTCAGTCAGAAGCCATGGCAGATATGGGCACAATGAAACATGGGAGCTAACCCCCCCCCCCCCGATTCCTTGGTTAATATTTGCAGCAGAACCCAAAGAGCCCCCACCTACCTCGGTGAGAAAGATGGCAAACTCCTCCGGAAGGATCCAGGAACGGGGATAGAAATTATACTCTTCCGGGAAAAGTTCCTGCATCGTTCTCATGGCGCGACTCAGGTTCACCTTCCGTGCCATTTCAGTCATGCCTAGTGGGCAGAGGGAGAAGCTTGGCGAGGGCAGCTGCCCGGTGAGATGGGCCAACCCAGAATGCCCAGCCAAGTGGCGGAGAAGATGCTCACATCGAAGGGGCCGTTCCCTGTCCTGGGATTCAATCTCTGCCTCAGAGATGGATCGTGGCTCTTAAGTCCTTTTATTGCTCTTCCTTGCTGCTCAACCTAGTCGTCTATTTTATCTCTTATCGATTGTTTACCTGCTTAAGCAACCTTATAAACTGCCCAAAGGATCTATTAAGCTGATCAACTTAACGATGATAAATTAAACGTATTGAACATTAAAAGTTCCCTGTCGTGGAGGTGAGCTTGCAGCCCCTGCCGTCATATTGGGTACAAGGGCTATTTTATTTCTCTGAAGCTTAAAATCCCAAACCTACTTAACAGGGAGTAAACTTTCACAGCAGAATAAGCTTCTAAATATGCACATTTGTGCCACTAGGGTGGAAATGCGCACAGCCCAATTTATCATGTATTGATCGGTCTGTGTGATATTAAAAGATTCCCCTGCTTTTCAAAGTGCCCAAGAATAGGACTTGGTTACTGCTGAAGGTTTTCTTCAGACTGAGTGGCTCACACTTTGCAGCCAGGAGAGAGAGAAAAAACCCCAAGGTTTAATTACACTTGGAAGGAGCTGCTTTTTTTGCCAATTTGATCCCAGGGAAGGCCTTTTTATAGATCCTTGTATAGCACAATAAAGCGGAGACAGGAACAGCGATGAGACAGGAACGTGGTCCTTCCTTAGCGGGGATTCAGGAAGAGATTAATGGGAAATCAGGGAGCTTTAAGCAGTTTAATAGCCCCTATCTCAAGGAAAGGTTATGTTAAATTCCTCAGTGCTTAAAAGAAAATGGCCCACCTGAGAAATCTCTCTTGGCAGAAAAAAGAGACAGGATTGCTTTGACTGGTCCACTGAGGGAGGCGTATGTTTTTCAGCAAAATCAAGTAACAGAAAATATTTATTAGCTGTACACAGTCCACGATTTATTTGGGCATGGCTTTCACCCAGAAACCAGCCCCATCATCATATTGTTTTCAGTTTGTCCCATCAAAATATGCATCCACCACAAGGACCAAGCCTCAAAAGATTTTAGAGAGCGGACAGCATTCAGTGACAGGCATTTAAAATATTGAGAGGTGCTCTTGATTCTCTCTGAGCTTGCTTGTTGTCATGCAGATGTTTCATTACCCAACTAGGTAACATCATCAATGCTAGAAGGGAGTGGGGTTTGCTCTCTGTTCTAGCACTCAACCACTCCCTCCTAGCCCTGATGGTGTCACCTAGTTGGGTAATGAAACGTCTGCAAGAAAACAACCAAGCTCAGAGAGCACCCAGGACCCCTCATTTCAACCCTAAGCTACAAATATTCTCCTTTATTGGTTTTTAAAACATTAGAAGAAATATTTTCTCCCCTCTTGAAAAAATGACAGCAGGAGGCTAATTGCAGACATAGGGCAAGGTTTAAGAGAGAGGAGGTGGCAGTTGGCTTTAGACTATTTTTGAGTAGACTAAATATTAGACAATTTTAGACTAGATTAAACATTGATCTTGTTTCTGATGAAGGAGCTGATCTCCAACTAACATTGGAGCTCTGAGGCATCCAGATTTTCAGCAGAGGGTCCCCGGGTGGGCTGGGCTTTTTTTTGCATCATTTTTTGCTTAGACAAGCCAACCCCAGCTCTCATCAAAGGTCAGCTACCTGGAAATTTGTTGACTTGTCCCGAATAAATGACATTGTCGTGAAAGGAGACAGCGTGCCAATAGATGTCGCAGGGCAAACGGCGGCCAAACGGAAACTGGACACAGCAGAAGGGAAGAACACAAAAAGAGACCGCTTAGCCAGAGTCCAGACGGGCATAAATCTGTACTGAGTATCGGTCAGAGATGGTCAATGGGAAGAGGGCGATAGGTTGCAAAGATCGCTCTGACATTGTTCCTTTCTTTCTTTTTCTAATGAAAGAAAAGCATCAAAAACCTCAGCTTCATCAACAGCCAGCTCTGGAGAGAGAGAAAACAATTAATTAACACGCTAATTGTGCACGTGCTTTCATTCTCCCCTGCTTAATGGGGAAGGGTGGCACCCACAACTGACAACAACAGCCACGGAGAAGGGGGATCTGTGACTCACTGCCTGATGCCTTGAGACTGGGGGGGGGTGGAGGGGAAGGAGGTGGGCAGGGAAGCAAAGACGCTTCAAAATCTATGAAAGATTTGTTTGCAGGAAAACAAGCCAGCAAGAGCCCAGATCAGCTCCCAAGTCTCCTCTTCCTCTGCCCCACAGGCACCTGGGATGCAACTGGGGGTTTCCTGCCCCCCAACATGCTGCCTTCCAAGTGTGTTCAGCCTCGCCCTCCATCCTTCCCAAGGGCAGGAGAGTCGGTGGTTCAACACACCTGGAGAACACCAGATTGGGAGAGGCCGCAAGAGAGAGACCCCTGGCCTGGGAGAAAGGGGGCCTGGAAAACAGATAAATGGGGTGAAGGGCCCCCTATCTTTAGGGGGCAGCTTCACAGAAGCTCACCTGATCTGCACCTCCCAAACTGAGACAATGATGCTAACATTCCCACAGGCCCAAGTTCTGCAACTGAAAGAACGCACAAAAACATTTACAGGATGGGAAACAGAGACTGGACAACTGGGCTGAAGTGAGGAAGAAAGACGCCTGAACTCACTTGCTGACCAGAAGGGGCGAGAGAAAAAGGTGCCAGGTTGACCAGCGCCACCCCTGACAGCAAAGGAGACTCGGAGACCGATGGTTCAAGGTGCAGAAAGGACCAACGGCATCCATATAATCGTGCAGAAAGTAACTATATATCAATGAAGTGTTGATGAAACATGAGGACCAGATGCTTGAGTTTATAAAGAAAAACGGAAGCTTGAAAACCTCAGCCTTTCCAGGCGTGTGTAACATCAGAGGAGCGTGTGTGGTGCAGAAAATTGCACACTGAATGTAGAAATGAATGGCCACCCCTTCCTGAAAGTAACACACAGGTTCAAGGGATATTTCCTGCAAGCCTTCCGAGAGGCAGGAGCCCCCTCTCCTGGCCACGGAGGCAGGGATCTTGGAGTTAAAGCTAATTATGCTAATTCCTTGATAACACCCTGCAAAGCCCAGTGGAGAGTGAAGGTGTCGTTCTCCTTGCAGAAAGGATTTGTTGTGGAGACCTTTCAGAAGTGCCACCCGTTGGGATTAGCACAGACAGCCTGGCTTCTGCTCACACCTTTGCAAGTGCTTTTTCGCAAGACAATCACTCACACATCATGTGAGCACAAAATCCTGTTTCTGCCAGATTTATTTCTGCTTTGCGCTCCAATATTACAGAAATATTCCTTGCCAAACACGGATATTACAGCTTGATTTTCTGATTCCGCCCCAAGCTTTGATTTTTTTGATTTCCCACTTCCCAAAAGGTTAGGAAAAGCCTTGGGAGCAGGCCTGTCTGCTGTGGGTCTAGGAGGGCTTAAATACAAAGCGTGTTTCTTTTTCTCCTGGTTGTGTGGACGCAGTATCTCTGGAAGCCATAATTGAAGGAAAGGCAGGGTCGAAGCTCTGAGCAGCCCTGGGCCGGCTACCGGGGCTCAACCAGCAGCCCCCCTTTTCCAGAGGAAGATAACCCCCCCCTCCGAGCCCCAAGCCCACCCAAAGGGGTCCACTGACTGGGAGAGACCAGTGCCTGCTGAGATTTCTGGCCATGTGCTGCTCTAGTTGTTCGGTTCTTGATGTGGCCACAAGCCTGGGCACACTTCACACACCAAAAGAAGCCCAGGAAAGCTCCCCCTCCGCTCCCCCCCAGCCCTGTGCCTGGCCCTGCCTACAGCCCTGCCTGTCAACACCACAAAGGCCTGTCTGGCACCGCTCAGTGATGTCACAAACAGCTCTGTGGACACTCAGAAGGAAAAGGAGGGCGCTGCAGGAAGGGGGGGAGGGGGTTGAGGGTCTCTGGAGACTTCGGGGGGGGGGTGAGCCTTCCCAAACCAGGCCCTCCAGATGCCTGGGACTGCCACTCCTATCGCAGCCAAGCCAGCACAGCGAAGGGCGCCGAGGTCCTTCCGAAGCCCTCCGACTAGACCCTGCGCACTCGGGCTCCCCGTTCGGTCTGAGCAGAGCCTCCCTCTGCCCTCAACCCCGGGGCTGCGCCGGCCTCCCTGCCCTGCCCTGTCCCGCCTGCCGAGGGGGACCCCAGCGCCCCGGGGAAGGCAGAGCCGAGCGGCCCGCGCCCCTTGCGCTCCTCCGCCTCTGCGCCGCCCGGCGCGCCTACCTCCTTCCAGCGCAGTTGGCGCAGGCTGAGCTTCAGCGCCTCCAGCGAGGTGCGCGCCTTGGAGCTGTCCACCGTGACCGAGCGCGCGCTGCGGCGGGGGCGCGGGCGAGGCGGGGGCGCGGGCGCCACCCCGCCGGCAGCCTCCTTTCCCTCGCGCGGAGGCTCCTCTCCGCCGCCGCCGCCGCCGCCTCCCCCCCCTCGCCACCCGGCCTGGCCCCGCGGCGCGGCCGCTGCGCTCGGCCCTCTCCCTGGGCAGGACGCCAGCGCCGCCTTCTCCTCGGGCCTGGGCCCGGGNGCCCGGGCCGGGCTCCCCGGCGGGCGCGGGCGGCGGCTCTGGCTTGGGCGGCGGGCGGCGGCGGCTCCATCCGGCCGGCGGCGGCTCCTGCTGCTCCCGTCCCTCCTCCGGCCGTTGCGCTCCCGCCGCCACCGGGCTCCGGCAGGGACTGAGCATGCTCCCCGGAGCTGCCCCGCGCCCCGGCCGGCGTCGCCCTTGGTTGCCCGGACGAGGCAGGCGCGCCCCGGGTGGGGAGGGTGAGGGCGAGGCTCAGGCGGGAGCCGGGGGAGGGGGAGCCCGGAGTCTCCAGCCCGCCGGACAGCCGGCCGCGTTCAGACGAGGCTGAGCCCCCACGCGCTTCGCCCTCGCTTTTGGCAGCCGGCCCAGCTGCGGATCCCCAAGAGGCCGGGCCTCCGTGCCCGCAGCCCTGCAAGGCGGCCCGGGGTTCTGCTCGAGTCCAACCGGGGCGAGGGGCAAAAGAGCCTAGTGGGAGGGGATGCGGGCATTCTCCATCACTGCCCTTTGCACAACTGCCCTGGCCCCCGAGACCCTCAGGTGGGAGGTCGCAGACCAGACTGGGCTGCTCCAAGGGAGTTGCTGCCCCTTCTCCTCTCCCCCCCCAACGTTTGGGGAGGGGGATTAAGCTGGGAGGAGGCCTGGCCCCAACCATCCAGCTTGTTTCACGAGAAGGGGAGGCGGAACCCAGACTGACCAGAGCCTCAGACGTATCTCTGTTCTCAGCTTGGTACTAGAAGGTCAGAGTCGCCCACAAGGATTCGGAGGGCTGACTTGTTTCAAAGAAGGATCCCCACATTTGCTTCCAGCAGCTACAGTCTCCCCTTCTCTTCAGCCTTCAAGCCGGCGTCTTGGGAAGGGACCAGCTTGCAACGTGCTTGGCGGGGTACGGGGGTGTCAACTGCACAGAGCCCCTCTCACATCTGGGCCTAGGACCCGTCACACTGATCCACCTCTGCAGACAAAGGGCCAGGGGCATCCTCCAGCTTCCGCCTGTCCCCAGAGGAGAGAGAGAAATCCAATCCGCAAATAAAGACATTCCCAGCCTCCCTCTGAATGATCTGTCAGGCCTGGAAGTGGATCCAGCCAAGAACAGGAAGACCTGCAGATGGTGCTGCAGCAAAGGGACCTAAAGGCTGGGCCTTCCCCAGCTCTCTCATTCCTCCCCCGCCCTTGAATAATTAACAAGGAGGATAAAACCGGAACCCGGAAAGGCCTCCATGGCTGGGAAGAAACAGGACCGTGGTTTTGGCTTGGAAACCAGGATCAGGCGGGAGGGAGGGAGGGCAAAAACAGAGAAACTCGTCTTTCCTCTAAGCTTCCCCAGGTCGGTTGAAGAGTCAAGAGCTGCGTTTGCGCAACAACCTTGATTAGTGGCAACGGTGCAAATTCCACAAGTGGGTTAATTCCATAACCAGGTTAATTGTGTTGTGCAAAGGCTGCCCCTGATAGTTTTGGATAAGTGACGGCATTGTATTAAGATACAATTGAGATTTTATGCTTTGGGGTAGCTGTTTTTTTTTTTTGCACTATCAAAGTAATAGGGTTTTTTTTTCCAGTTTGTTTTTGAGAAGTAACTTTGAAATCTTCCTGTATCACCTCACTTGGC